AACTGAATTGGCCCATGTTCTCCTCTGCAGTTACGTACAGAGGCAAGGAGCTTCCAAATGTGTTCTTAATAAAGAGGGGGAAAACAAATTAAACGAGCAAATACCGAGGATGGGTGGACTTGGCTGCTTCCACACTTCACCATGTTCTCCATCATGATCTCATTGCTGGATCATTATTATGTCCCAATTTGTCACCTTGATTTCGTTACAGCCAGAATTAAGAAGACGAAAGAGAGAAAAAACAAGCAGAGGGAAAGGAAGAAAAAGCCCGAGGAAGTGTGCATGGAAGTGAGAATGAAGCTTTACAGTCCAGTTAGGATATCTTGCAGAAAATTTTCATTGCTTTTTTCTCCCTCCAAGGCATTCCTTAACCTGAATCTTCTGGCAAATGTAGAAGATGGCAGGATGGAAATTGGGGTTGCTCCTATGTTATTAATCACAAAATGAGAGCTAGAAAGTAGGTTACAATAACCTCTTTTTCATTAGGGAAAGTTCAGCTTTTGCAAGAGCCTGCAAGCTTTCAGGTTTCACCAAGCAGGCCTGATGAAGTGTTATGTGAAAAACAAAAGCTTGTCTTCCACCTTAAACCGACAGAGAGGCAACATTTGCTCTCTGGGTGAAGTAATACAGATTAATTGTAATGCCATTAAAACCATTCCTGCTTAAAACTTTCCTGCAGATTTGCTTTAAAGAGATTTCAACCTTGGCAGTTTGATATCAGCATGTACATACAATTAATGACAGGAGTGAGAGATAAGATAATTATAATTATAATTATAATTATAATTATAATTATAATTATTATTATTATTATTATTATTATTATTATTATTATTATTATTATTATTATTATTATTATTATTATTATTATTATTATTATTATTATTATTATTATTATTATTATTATTATTATTATTATTATTATTATTATTATTATTATTATTATTATTATTATTATTATTATTATTATTATTATTATTATTATTATTATTATTATTATTATTATTATTATTATTATTATTATTATTATTATTATTATTATTATTATTATTATTATTATTATTATTATTATTATTATTATTATTATTATTATTGGACCAATCCAGAGGGGACAAGATGCAGAAAGCATGATGTGGGTGGCAGATAAAAATTAGCAAGAGACAAATTTACTGAGGAAAGGCTTTGATTTCCTTCCCCAAAGAATCTATAATCAAGGTCTTATCAATGGTACATCCATAAGCTGTCACGTAACACCCTCTCTTGCAACCTATTCCACCTTTCCTCTCTCCCTTCCTATGTAGGGGCACTTATTGGCTCCTCAATCAAAACCATCCTTTACTGAATCTTGGAAGGCAACGTCATTCCAGTTGGATGTGCTTGTTTTGAATATGCTGGCATAGTGTTTCCCTTGTTGTCTCATTAAAGTCACTGAATGCATCCCTGTCTCTCTGGCACACCAGCCAAGGCCTCCTAGAGTATTGCCACCACTGCTCCTTAATTTCTTCTCACTTTCTACCAGGTTTAGGGAAGGAGACCCTGTTGCCCTCTAAGATGTTGTAAGACTGCACCTCCCAACAGTGGTTATTCTAACAGAAAGGGCTAATGGGAGCTGCCGTACAATGACATCCAGAAAGTTATGTATTGATCCACTTCTGACCCATAGTTTTGTTTATCTGTTAGGAAATTTATCTTCATTCTAAGAAGAACCCGGCTGTGGGGATGAGCTGCTCAAGAAAGCTAGGAAATACTTTGCCAGAACTTTTTCAAGGCAAAAAACCCCAGGAAACATTTCCTGGAGATGTTTCAAAAAAAGGACTGCAGTAGCTGTGGCATCCTTGGTATTGCTGGACTCCAGTTCTCATCAGCCCCAATTAAGGTGGCAATGTTTAGTGATTGTGGAAGCAGAGGTCCATGAATCTAGGTACCCACAAGTTCTTCGGCTTTGTTTTGAAGTACAGGATACCTCCTACAAAACCATTATTGCATATTCTACTTTGGGGCAATTACATCTCTATAGAGTGAACATTCTACCTGCTGATTTCTGCTGCTCAAATAGCTATTAAAGGCGCAGCTAGAAAGGCTGGTTGAAAAGATAGCTTCAGAGCAGCCCAACATGCTGCTGCTGGTGCTGCTGGAGCTATGTCTCCCTGCTGTGTGGCGCAGCTAGAAAGGCTGGTTGAAAAGATGGCTTCAGAGCAGCCCAACATGCAGCTGCTGCTGCTGGAGCTATGTCTCCCTGCTGTGCGCACATTTCCTACCTAATGGCCCCAATCTCTTCTCTTCCAGCAGAGTCCGATAATGCCTTGCAATGAAGCATGCAGGCCACATATAGGCTTCTGAATTCTGTGCCACCTGTCTAGAGTTAGAGTGTGTAAACTATACAGCTACATCTGCTGACATTGCACTGTCAAGCTGTGCAGTGCATTTTCCCTTTGTATCGATTTCAATTCATTAAAGTGTGCTCCCCTTTCATCTAGACACAGGTCACGCTCTAATTCCAAACTTCACAGACAATGTGCTATTGATCTGCACTAGTCACCAATTTTTCTCTCAATCCAGCACCTCCTCAGGCCTTCCATTTCTCACATGTCATGCCACAATTAAGGGACATATAAATCTTGCCCCAAGTGGTCTGGGCCAGAGTTTGAGAATAAATAATTACTAATAACTAGTTGGTTGTAATTATTTCCTCTGCAAGAGAATACAACTAAGTAACACTATCACTATAAGTTAACAAGGGGCAACTTTTTGTGATAGAACTCTTACCTGTTAATTACTTCTCTAGTTACTAGATGTGCCCTTACTGAAGTGTAGGAAGAATGTCCCCAGCACAAGGTCTGGCTTGAGCTGTGCCTCGTGCTCTGTTGTGGATGTTGATTAAAAAAATGGGACAGGAGGAGTGAGTTTTGTATCACAAGACAACAGGTTCTAAAATCATTTTTTTCAATTAGTAATCCAAGAGAAACTATTCTAGTTACAAATGGAAAAGTAAATACTTATATTCTTTGAAGATTGTAATTGGAAATGTAACTAAGTGTTTGGGGTGCCCCAGGAACTTTGTTGTTGTTGTTGTTGTTGTTGTTGTTGTTGTTGTTGTTGTTGTTGTTGTTGTTGTTGTTGTTGTTGTTGTTGTTGTGTGCTGTCAAATTGGAACCAATTCATAGAGACCCCAGTAGGGCTTTCAAGGTAAGTGAAGTATTTAAGGAGTGGTTTTACCAGTTCCACTCCCCCAGTGACTTTCTATGGCTGAGCAGGGATTCAAACCCTGTTGTCCAGAGTCCATGGTTCTATCCACTACATCACAATAGGTACAACAACAATAACCTTTCAAATTCTGGTATCAACAAAAGCCTTGCCTTCATCCTTTTCCCAAACATTAACTTGACTCAGGTCTCCTCCTGTCGTTAGGTAAAGTGAGGCAGCCATCTTAGATGGCAGGTCCTGGGGCTGCACAGAGGAGCAGCAAGGTGGCAGAGCTGAGCATGCCTCAAAGCCAACCTTGGAATTCCATAAGCTACCCTTCTTACCTCAGGTACACTAGAAGATACTGTCCTATCCCCACTGTTTAGGAATCAAATGCCAGCCCAGTTGATTTCTGTAGGTGGAACAGAGGTTTTCTTTAACTACAGGCGGCAAGTATCATAGGTCAGCCCTTCCTTGTCTTCTTTAATTAAAAGAGGTTTTGCTAAATGCTTAATTGTGGTGCTGCATCTGAGTCTGAATGAAACTCTTCCTTCCCTTATATAGCTGACAAGAACCACAGTCTGGACTGGACACAACCATATTTTGTGTTTGTATACTGACAAAGTGTGTGGTTTCAGCCATAATTAGAAAGTCAGCATGTGGTATGATGCATGATGGAGAACTCTAGGCCAATCAGTGGAACCATTCAGTAAATTTAGATTCCAGCTATAATTGTCTTATGGGGGTGTCTCTTTAGATGGTAACATTAATTTTTTTTCACAAACTTCAGGATGTTGTTATAAGCCAGGCACTGTGTTGTATATTTATTTATTTATCTCAGCTTCCTCTGCAATCACTCATGCACTCACATTTACTTACTTACTTACTTACTTACTTACTTACTTACTTACTTACTTACTTACTTACTTACTTACTTACTTACTTACTTACTTACTTACTTACTTACTTACTTATTGTGCCTCCTATCCCCCATAGGGGACACATGGTGGCTCACAATCATTAAAATCATGCAATCATAACAGTTTAAAATGCAATACAAAAGTATATATATATACTTTTGTATTGCA